TCTAGCTCTCTTGCATTGAAGAGAGTTTCATGAGCAAAGTCCTCTAGCTCTCTTACATTGAAGAGGGTTTGCGGGCTTCATGATCCTAATCGGTGTTATATCAGTCTCTTTTGGAATGTTCTATTACACATTTATGCAACATATCATGTAAGCCATGTATGTTTCTATGTTTCTTTGTTCACAATTGTAACACCCTAAATTTTTGCATTCTTTTTAAAATAGTAAATTTGATTTAAATATGTAATTATGTGTGCATTCAAATATAGGAAAATAATAATTTTCGTGAAAATAAAATCCATCATAAGAATATATACATGTTGATGCACTCATGCTGGAGCATTGTATTTAATATGTTGAGTGGTATTGATTTAAACTCAAAAGGATCAAAAAATTATTATTTGAAAATGGAATTGGAAAATTCATTTGGAAAAAAAAGGAAATTCATTTCTCTTTCTCCTCCCTTCCTTGCTTTCGGCCTGTTGGCCCGTTTCCATCCCCGTCGGCCCGCTGGCCATTCTTCCTCTCAAGGCTTAGCCCTTGATCCAGCCCGACCCCAGCGGCCCAAAGAGCCGGCCCTGCCCGGCTTGCCAGCAAGAATCATTGTCATACTGCCCAGCCCATGATAAGCCAGCTGGCCAAGCCGCCTCCTTCCCTCTTGTTGGTGACATCTCGGCCCTTTGTCGGCTCCTTCCCCCCCACCTCTTTCCGCGCGTCCATAACCCGCCGCTGCCAGCGGCGCCTATGGCAACCGCCGCCCACGCCTCCGGTCGTGGGAGTGTCCCCCCGGCTCCTCGGCCTCGATAAATAGGAGCCGAGCCCCCCCGCACGCCCCTGCTGCTCCCCCGCGCCGTTTTCTCTCGCGTTCACGCCTCGGAAGCCCCACAACCGCCGCACGGAAGAGCTCCGCCGATCCGCCGTCCTCACCTCCGCACGGACCGCCGCGTCCCCGAGCCTTCCCGTCCTCGCTTTTCCTCATGGTGAGAACCCCTCGCTCTCCTATCTCTCCCGACCTTTTCCTTGGCATTTTGTGGCTCAGATGCGCGTGTCAAGTCTTGCAGCGAGCTCCTCCTCATTGTCGGTCATGGCGGATAGCCATGAGCCATCCCCCATTGTGTTTTGTCCCGGTGGACTCGCCATCTTCCCCAGATCATCCCCGTGGCCTCGGTTGGGCACACTGCGTGCCCGTGGGCTGAAGTTCCAGCACGGGCGAAGCTCCTCGTCGTCGGCAATGGCGCCCCGCCGCGGAAGCTACTGTTTCGGCCGGCCACCTTCTTCTCTCTCCCCCCGGATCCATTCTTGGCCGCTCATTTCTAATCCAACGGCCGAGATCATCCGATACCCCTTCGCGTGGCTGATTTGCATAAGAGACCCTGGACTTTTCTAAGTCCTAACCCGCAGTCCAAGGCGTAGTTCCCCGAATGCGCAATCTCGTTTGGAAAGCGTAAACTTCACGGTTTAAGTCAAAATACGTTTTCAGATATTTAAATGCCATTTGAACTATTTTCGCTTATAAAATTGTCGTTTTAGCTCCGAATTGATCCATTCAAATCGCGTTAGCTTCGTAATTTCATAAGCTACATGTTGGAACTACTGTTAGTCAAGTTTGGAACTTTTTAATTTCATGATTAGATTTAATTAAATATATGGCTACAGGAAAACCCGTTTAAATCATAACTTTCGCATTTTAGCTCCGTTTTTCGTGAACTTCGCGTTGACGTGATCGTAGCGAGACGTAGATAATTTTCACAAACATTTTATCTTATTTTCTATACTGTTGGTGTACTGTTCTAATGATAGGAATGTTTGCTTTGCATGAATGTTTTTGGAATGTTGTATGTTGCCGTGTTGGTCGCGTTCAGACGGTGAGGAGAACGTTGGAGATCAAGAATTCTTTGACGACCAGCAGGACCAACAAGAGTTTGTGAACCAAGGCAAGTATAGCATGGGCCTACCTTGATGTCCTATTTCACTTTAATCAATTACTCATTTGCATGTGTCTAATTTTGATACCCGTAAGGACATTCTAGTGATTGATTATCCTGTTCCTTGTCTCCTATGGGTTAAATGCATATGGGTAGATTGCTAGTGCTCTAACTGAACTTGATATACATGATGATGAATGATACTATGGAACTAAGAGTTTAACATGATTTATAACAACTGTTCCATAGGGCGAAGGTGCAAATGACCTTTGATCATGTTGCTCCCAGCCCTCCATAAGGACTTATCTGTCGGCAAAAGCTGGGACTGACAGTGCAACCGTGAGAGTCATATGGCTCTGACTTTAGCTCAGTAATATGACTTTTTCTAGCTAGTTAGAGGTTACCTTTTTGGCGCAAATGGGGCTTGCCATGTTGGGTATAGGGCTGCCTCTGTTCCTATGTGTATAGCCACGATGGATATGTGCCATAGGAAAGGGGGGGTTCCTACATCTGCCTGCCAAGGAAACCTAGCGGCCCTAACTTGTTAGATAAACCTATGAAATGGCTTCATAGTGTACCCTGCCCGCTCACCTTGGCAGTGATATGGGAGTAATTAACCCGGGCATATGGGGATCATGACTCACGGTGAATGTGCACCACCTCTGCAGAGGGTAACAAACTGTTATAACAGCCGTGCTCACGGTCACGAGCGGCCCGAAAAACTCACAGAATAACTGGTCACTCATTGTTGTTCATTTATGATGGTTTATGATGATATGATTCAAATGATGCTGATATCTGATTAAGTGGGTTTAAATGGGAGCTTAAGCATAACTTGATGATACTTGATAATAAAATCTTGACTTACTAAAAGTGCTAACTGCAGTAAACCAGTGTCAACCTTTTTGAGCCTTATGAATCCCCATGTTATCTTGTTAAGTACGGGAAGTACTTACGCTTGTTTATTTTCTTTATTTGGATAAAAATCCCGGATGGGTAACAGATGACAACGTGTATGAGAAGTTTCCTGAGTATTATTAGGCTTGTGGTCAACCAGTTGACCTTCCCTGTGATGGTGTTCCACGAGAGTGTTATCCTTTACTATTCCGCTGTGTTGTGTAAGACTACTTAATGTTATTATTTGTGATGTAAGAGACACCATGATGATACTTTATGTGATTTGTCGACTTGTGTGTGTGACTGATTTCTGGGCACATACGAGTATTTTGCATTCAATTTTATCCTTAAAAATTGGGTGTGACAACACACTGAGAGTTTAATGAATAATTGCATCAAATTCAGGGCATTTGTAGCTTGATGATTTGTTTTTTTTTGGTTGGGATGGTTTGTACGGTTGAAAAAAGTAAATCAAGATATTATTTATTTTAATTATGTGTTCCAAGAATACAAGGATGATGCAATCTTGGAATTTTGATTTGACTTTGGTCATGCATCACACCGTGATTAAAAGGGTTAATAGGCATATGGCTCAGATTATTTTGGTATGCATATTTCATTGCAAGGAACAATATTATATACATCCATTACATATTTTTTTTATAAACATGTTCATGTTGCGAGTGCATATGAGATAAATGCACTATTAAAAATATTTTTTAACTAACCTAATTAATCTAATTTATTGCTGTGGATGTTTATGTATTTTTTAATAAACTTTGTCAAAACTAGATTCTAGGATGACTTGTAGCTTAAAATGGAGGGAGTATATTTGTAGTGCGTATCAAATGAATATAATCATGATTGATTTTTTACTGTTTAGTGTCGATGATTCCTTTATTAGATTTTTACTATGATTATGGATTTATGGTTTTTGCGATGCTTTCCTTTTCATTCTTGTAATCCCATGCATTACCTTTAAATTACATCATAGTATGTTGCCTTCTACATTGACTTAGCACCTTTAAATAAAGCAATTAGGCGATAACATACTAGCAACTTCTATAGACACGTGCGCATGTGCATGTCTACTTAGAAATATAAAAAAGTAATAGCATTTATGGTACAAAACAAGTACAATTAACCGATTGTAAAATATATTTTTAGCAAACATAATTTAAAGTATAAATTTTAATACTATTTAGTATAGATTGATCGAAGTTAAGCTAATTTGACTTTTATTAGTTTTATGATAATTATACTCTTTTATGAATGGAGGGATCCATTCTAATTTGTATATTGTTTTGATATTTCTAGATACACAATTTTATTATGTATTTACACATATGGTATGTCTACGTGCAGGCCATTTTGAACCCCGTTTGCACGGCCACCGCACGCTCACCTCCCCCATCTCCTTCCCTAGCGTGCCGCACGTAGTCCCACCAGCATAGCACTGTTCATCTTCCCCACCGCAACACACGCTCTCTCTCCTCAGCTACTGTGTCGTCATCTTCCCTAACTTCGACGACCACGCGCCCGCCTCCCGCCTCACTCTATTCTTCCCCAACTCTGGCGGGCTTAGAAAAGAAGAGATTAGGGGGAGGCAGGCCAACCATGTGGCAGGGACGACGGGAGGGCGCTTTAGGTCCCAGTGGCGGTGGAGGCACCGGACCAGATCGGTGCGGGGCATGGCCATGGTGGCGGCAAAGAGGGATGGGGAGGGGAAGAAAAAGAGATTGCCACAGACGCGCTAGGGTTTCACCAAAGAGTAGAGGGGCGTCGGAGAAGAAGACGTTGGCGCGAGGAAGAAGATGACCGTGCCTTGCATTAGTAGTAACCTAATTAAAATACAACACAAACAACTAATCAATCCCTGTATTAGTAATATCCTAATTCATAATACAGTGCAAGCAACTAATCAACCTATCTCGAAGTCTTTTCCTTCTCACCAGTGACCCGAGGCCCCGAGCACCAGCTGGACTTCAAAACCACGTTGGATAGCCCCCGAAACCGCGGCTTGACTTGACTTGGGGGGGCTTGGGGCCTTGCAACGTTGTTTGGTGAAGCCGCAAGCCCGCAACGCGCAATTCTCTCTCTCTCCCTCCCCCATCTCACCGTACCCCAACCCCAAACCCTAGGACGCAGCGCCGCCGCCGCAGCACCACCACCCGCAGCAAGATGAGGCCGCGCGGAAGGGGCGACGACGTCGAAGACGACGATGACGAGGACGAGTACGAGGACATCACGCCGCCTCGAAGAATGCCAGGGCCCGAGGCCGACCCCGCCCCCGCCCCCTCGCCCTCACCCTCGCCCTCGCCCTCGCCCGCCCCCGCCCCCGCCCCCGCCCCGCCGCAGCCCACGCGTGCCCCGCTCAGCAGCCTCGTCATTAGGCCGCCGCCGCCGCAGGAGAACGGCGGCGGATCCTCCCCGCATTCACCCTCCGCCCGCTCGCCCTCTCCCAGCGCCGGCGGACACCGAGGCCGCGGGGCCTCGCCCCCGCGGCGACGGCGGGACTTCTCACCGCCGCTTCCCCGCGGTTGGGAGAGGCGCCGGTCGCCTCCGCGGCAGCCGCCGGAGAGGCGGCGTCCTGGGAGCCCGCCGCCGGAGAGGCGGCGTCCTGGGAGCCCGCCGCCGCAGCGGCGACGCTTCACCCCACCGCCCCGGTTCCAGCCACCGCGGCATCCGCGCTTCTACGATGAGCAACAAGGTTTGTTGGAAACCCTCCAATCTTTCTATTTTCTGTATAGTGTCTCTCTATAAATTATGGGAAGTTCGAACCAATTTAGTCGATTTGTACTTTTCCTTTTGTACTATATTGCTGGATTCGCACACCAGTATTTACTTTACTTTATTTTTATTTGATTCTGATTAATATGCATTCGGTGCGATGCTGATGATTCCTTACCTTGAAGGATATATACATCTCCTATTTTTTCGTTTTTGAAGGATGGATCTTCTTTATTACAACATGTGGTTGTGTTCCTTGCCGTGATATTGATTGGAAGTTATGTGATTAGACATACTGACATAGTTGTGTGGCAATATATGTGGAGGAAGTGTTACTTGTTTTAGGCTATGCAACACGCATATTTAAATTGCTATCTACTTATTCCATGGCTGTTCAATAGCAGCACCTTTTTATTCTTTTAGCTGCACCTTTTCATCGAGTGAAAGTTGAGCAATAGTGGTGTAGAGGATTAAAGTTATGTAGTTGCTCACATATATCTTTTGTCCAGAGATGATTTTGGTTCCAGTACTTCAACTGTCATTTTGATTGCAAAGTTTACAAACGATACTTGCTGTTACTTGTTCTTGCTATTACATATTGGAAACCTAATGACATGAAAAGTGTTTGTCTGTCGGAATGTACTAATATTGTACGGGACGAATATAAATACTTTTGTGTGGCAAAGTTTCGCTGAGCAATTTTTATATGTTTGAGGTGGTTATTGCAAGCGCTTCTGTTGCTTCTAATGGGTTGAAGCAACTAGCAAATGCTATCTGAGTAATCTTTTATATTGGTCTAAAACTCGGAATGATATTTGTGGTTCATGTTGCTTGCTAGATTTAATATGAAATTACCATGACTCTTAGATGTGTTTTCCCCTTTCTGGATTATTGCATGCTTCATTTGCAAGAAGCCATAGAAGGCATGTATCATGTAGCTGGCTTCAAATTTCATATTAATGATATCAAGCTTGTTTCAACAAGCTTTGCATGATATGTTGTTGTCCTTGTATTATGCATGATTCCTCATATCTTAGGTGCTAATGTGTTGTGCAATTTGCATCACTCAAGCAGTGAAGCCATGAGTGAATTGTTTTACCTGTTTCTCTCTTCTGTTTGATTTTATTTTATTGTAAATGTAGAACTGTACTTTTTTTTTCGTTTGAACTGTTCACTAAACAGACTGCTCATCATCTTTGAAGTATAGTATGTATGAATAGACTGCTCATTATCTTTGGAAGTACGTACGCAAGATCTAGCATTTGAGGAACTGTGATGGAGTACAGTTAAGACCTTTTTAATCTAATAGTATATTAGTATTGTGTCATCATCATGATAATTCCATGCATAGTTTACAACTATACTATATTACTAATTACTAGTTCAGTTCATCCTTAACTTTTCAGCTTCCTTCATTTACTAAATATAAGATGCCTTGTACCATGATTTCATCATGTTACACATTATGTCTCTCGAGTTCTAGCAGTATCCTGCCAGCTATATAACTGCTAAATGGTTTATTTAATATAAGCTAATATATTATTGTTAAAGAACCATAATTCTAGGAAAATGTTTCACACAGCGTGAATGTCTGAAACCACCTGATATGCTTGAAAAATTGTAAATATCTTCTAATACTTTGGTGGCTTGGATGTCCAGTGTAATGGCCAAGCACTGCAAGCTCCAGTAAAATATCAAATGAAGTATGGAGTTTGCTGTTCTACTGGAACACTTTCCAACTTGAGTTGCTTGGATGCCATTCCTTTTCAAGATGGACAATATTGTTGATGCTTTGGTATTGTGCTACCTGATGATTTGATTAAATTTGCCAGCATAGTGATGTGGAAGTATTCTGCCTTGCTGACACAAGTTTTGTGAAAAGGTAGACACATTTGCATGTGCAGTATGTTGTGCTCTGAAAGGTTTGAAGTTTTGAGAATTGAGATAACATGGAATGAAGGAACGAGATGGACTTGAGGTCATAGTATTAACACAACTTGGTTGTGTTAGTGTTTAGGCAATGCCTAACAACATAATGAGTGGAATTAGCTGTGAGCATGGATATGTAGAAACTTGAGGAGAACATCATCAGTTGGGCCTTACTGTCATCAATATTTCAACTGTTGAGTTTTGGAGATCAGGGCAGAATTCAGGAAGCCGTGGTTCAAGTGCTTATCTAAATTATAAATCGTGAGTTTGATGACGTTAATATGGAACTTGGATAATAGACATTTATATAATATGAATTCGAAAATGAACCCACCCTTTTGAGTTCTTTTTGGCAATTTGTGTTTTCTGCACAATGAGCCAAGTCATCAGGTATATTTTAGACATAGGATTATGCCATTTTGTTTGCCGGTCTTTTGAACAACTTGTTAGAGGCTTCAGAGACTGGGACAATGATGTTGGGAGAAGAAAGTAACTGGCTGCTCTAGAGGCTTGTTTGCAAGTGAATTGCTGGCCACATTCACATCTTCATGTTTGAAGCCTCAAGGGATGTTCATATAGCATCAATATTGGAGCTGTCTCCTGTGCAGTGTGGGACATTCCAACAACTACTTGGTATGCTTGTAAGCTGAAGTTGCTTTTACGGTTGAGAAACAGAACCAAGGTGATTGGTATGGAACACCACTTTGTAGCATTCACAGTGACATAGCATGCCTGGTGCTTGAGCTTTTCCCTGTTCAAGTTGAAATTCTTCGAGTAGGTCCCAGTGGGGATTAGCTTCGTTATACTTGATGCTTGCTTAATCTTGTGCAATCATGTGGAGGGAGAAGTATTTGGTCATTGGAGCGACCTGCTTTATTCTAGGTTGAGAAACAGAACCAAGGTGATTGGTATGGAACACCACTTTGTAGCATTCACAGTGACATAGCATGCCTGGTGCTTGAGCTTTTCCCTGTTCAAGTTGGAATTCTTCGAGTAGGTCCCAGTGAGGATTAGCTTCGTGATACTTGATGCTTGCTTAATCTTGTGCAATCATGTGGAGGGAGAAGTATTTGGTCATTGGAGCGACCTGCTTGATTCTAATATTTGAGATGCCATCAAGAAACTGTTACAGTGGTCTATATGTCACATAGTTATTGATCTGTCAAATATTTGTTAGTTAACTTGCAAATGGAAACGGGATCCTATATTGGCCAAAGGAACTAAGATTTTCTTAGCAACATCAACTCCACTCTCTGGACACGTAGCTACTAACTACATTGTGAACCACCAGAAGGCTGCTAGTTTCATTCAGTTGAGCTGCAGTGACAATGGTATTTCCTTCTCAGAAATGTGGCCCTTCGCAATTATAACTTCGTTCAGCATATGAAGAGTAGCAATTTTGAAAGTAGTTCTCATGAAGTGGTTGCCTGTTTCAGTTCCATGTGGCTGGTGTAAGCATTTCTTGCTAAACGTTAGTTGGCTTTATCTTTTAGTGCTTATTTGGATTTTTTTTATACTTGCTTTTCAGGATATGGAATGCATGCAGGCCCTTCGCCACCACGCCCACGCAGAGCAGAAGCCAGCAAATTTGATGATGATGTTGGTCCACGTTACACCCATGGATATCGAGGGGTTGGTAGAGGAGGTGCAAGGTTCCGAGAGGGTTCTCCACCATATGGAAGAGGAGGTAGATCATATGGGAGAGGCTATGGCGCTCCACATGGAAAGGATTTCATTAATATTGATGGACAATATGTTCACCGAAATGACCCAAATCTTTCGCCAAGAGAAGGTGACTGGATATGCCAGAACCCTAAGTAAGTTGCTTTTTAGCCTGTCAAGTATGCTTTATTAGTCACTTAAATCTTGGTTTTCTGATTTTCCTTCTCGCATTCTGTGTCAGCTGTGGAAATCTCAATTTTGCTCGGCGCACTCACTGTAACAACTGCAACAAGTTTCGCTATTCAGCGCACGACGCATATGAGCCTAGGCGCAGCCCCCCCTTCAGGAGTTACCCCAGCTCTCCACGAGGGCCTCAAAGGATGGTTGGCCCACCTGGTGATCGTGCCCCTGCAAGAGAGATGACCAGGTACAGATCACCACCTCATGGTTGGGGCGCAAGTGATCCTAGGGCATATGCAGCTCGATCCCCTCCAGAACGTGCAGGACGGTTTACAGATCCATCGCCTAAGGAAAGAATGGGCTTCCGTGGTGAGCGCGACCCAAGGGACCGTGTGAAATTTGAGTGGTCTGCCACTGATGACTACATTCAGACGGAGCGCCCACATGATGGTTATCTTGACAGGAGTCGGCGTCACTCAGGATCTCCTCGTGGTAACTGGGGAAATGATCTGCGTGACAGAAGCCGCTCTCCTCCAAGGAACAGGCCTATGAAGAGTTCCTTCAACGACAGAGGTCGACCTGATGACTATGCTGCTGATCTATATGCCAGCCGAGGGAGACCCAATGGTATGGAGGCTGGCCGTGGGCGTGGGCATGTTTACAGACCAGGCAGTGGCCCATACCCTGGTGAGGGTCGAGGTGACCGACGTGCTGCTCCACGTGCTAGGAACGAAGATGGCTATTAGATCATCTTCATGAAGCTGTTGAGTGACGTCATTTTGTCTTAGTTGGTCAGGAAAGGAAAACCTTAGGCACGCTGGAGCTTGTAATATTAAAGATCGTGTACTGTGTCCTAAACCATGGTAACTGTGTTCCTGCATGTTGTGAAGTTATGATTTGGCTTCTGTCATCCTCAGTGTCGGATCTAGTAAAGGGAGATGGGTATGTACACCCAATAATTTCTGCAAAAAGTTAGAAATTAGTAGTCATCAAATAGCCAAATACCTTGAGGTTAGAGTTTGAGAACCGAATTTGTTTAAAAAAGAACTTGGTTTTGCACCGCAGACGGGAAAGAGAAGGGGCGGGGTGGAAATACTTTGTTTTACGCCAAAGTATTTCACAAAACTATGGTGTTTTTTCTAAAAACTCCAAAAATACTTAGGGCCTTAACTGGGTAACGTACAACTGTAGTATCTGACCTGTACGAACACCCACACCCACACACCCCTACGTACATACGAAGACCCACAGCTACACGCAACTTCAAGATCGTGTCTGTCCCTACTGAGATCGACAGAGTTACACATGGACCATTGTGTCACTACACGAGCAGGCAGCGAAATTTATTTTGGGGCCATGCCCCGGTGAGACAAGTTGATTCTAACCGGAGTCGAATTCTGGTGGGTGGGATGGAAACCACCGATTCCAACCACTGGGCTATCAACCTATCCTCGGGGTGGGAATACCTGGTGGGCACTCTTCACCCGTGAAGAGAGAGACGGAGGCCTCGGCACCTGGTGTAGGGCGGCGGTAGCCCAAGAGAGAGAGAGAAGGTGACAGATGCAGCGGCGGTGAACGCGAGGAGGGAGACGGAAACGAGGGTCGTGGTCTCGTGGAGGATGGTTGGGCTTGAGATGGGTACTTTCAATTGGCTACTCTATCTGACAAGGGCCTGTTTAGATGGCGAAAAATTTTGCAAAATGTACTGTAGCACGTTTCGTTGTTATTTGACAATTAGTGTCCAATCATAGTCTAATTAGGTTTAAAAGATTCGTCTCGTGAATTTCGTCTAAACTGTGTAATTAGTTTTATTTTTTATTTATATTTAATGCTTCATACATGCGTCCAAAGATTCGATGTAACGGAGAATCTGAAAAATTTGGCAAAATTTCCTGGAACTAAACTGCACCTAAGTTGAAGCATCTTTTGGAGCGCGCGTTGCAGCTGGGAGGGGAGCTGCCTCCGATGGTCCCCGGCAAATAAAGCCTAGTACTTGCACCTGGTTGTTCGCTTGGGTTAGACCAAAGAAGCTGCCTCCGTTGTGAGTTTTGAGAGTTCGATTTTTTTTTTTTTTTTTTTGTCTACGAGTACTGCTGCTTTTGGCTGAGGCCAACAAAGTTAGCCCGCATTGGTGAAGCCATTAGTCACTCAGTCTCACAATCACTCAGTCACTCCGCCACTCAAGAATTTAGAATGGATTATAATGCATACGCGTGTGAGTTTATATTTTATTGATATTAATGGCAAATGATGGTGGGAAAATTCACAACCATAATCATCAAGAGCATCATATACAAAAAAAAACTTTTAAAAAAAAATATAGTAGTCTATAATTATATAGTCCACCAAAAATATATAGCATGCACTCCACGAAAAATATTTTATACACAGTAGTTGAATATTAATGAAATTTTCTATGAGTGAGTTCGTATATACGGAGTATCATATAAAAATGAAATTGGTCTTTCCAACGGTAGAATCGGATACGACACCATATCCAGCTACAACTCAATTATTTCCAAAGCCCGCTTTCATTTATCCTTGAATGCCATAAATATTTGGGTAGGTACTGCATCGGCAGGTAGCAAGACAATGAAAATTCAGTACTCCATAAAAAAAACACAATAGAGTTAAACATCCTGTTAAAAAGAACCATTCTCACATCATAATTCATCAGGCTGGATTCGGTTAAGAGAATGAAAAGAGCAATACGTGTTTTCATTTCTCATGTCAGAATATACATACATAAGGATTAATATGCATACCTGGCCAATATCAGCAGACTGATGATTAATCATCTCCATATGCTTTTTCTATTGTTCCATTTTCATAGCTCAATCAATTTCCATTAAAAAAGACGATATTTTGGCGGGCGAACAATCAACAACACCTTATATACGTATTTTTATGACGCAGGCACTAACCATGTTCTTCTCGCTAATAATTTAAGCAACTGGTTCAGTTTAATGAGTGTTCAAAATCATGCCGCAAAACCAAAAGCATGCAAGCTACCTCGACATCTGGTTGGACACGGGGCCCGCCTGTCCCACATTCATCTTTCTCACCACCACCCGCAGATTAGGAGCAATGTATCAGACCACCTAGCCCCCGGACGCCCGGCTTCAGCGCACGTCCGGACGCACCTAGCGTCCGACTGGCTTCAGCGCGTTGTCTCGTTTCGATTCGAGTCAAACGCACCAAATAACGTTTCGAGTCGATCCCACCAATCCGAACAGAGCTTCACTCGCCAGTCGCAGCATCCCACGCTCGCGGGCGGCCGGTCCCCGCCGCACCGCTCGTCCCCCAGCCATCCCGCCGCGCCGCCCGTCCCCCAGCCAATCCCCTTGACTTGAACGTGGAAGCCAGATATCTCAATGAAAGGTGGCCTTGTAGAAAAGAAAAGGCGATATAATTACCACAACCGATGTAAAATAAACAATGGACATATAAGCAAAACCTACTAGAACAAAGATGAACGAAGTGTTAAACCAAAAGAAGCTTAAGTTCATAAAACTAAATTGTGACCAATAATAAACTTCGTTGTGACAATCAATGAACCATATATTACTACAGAAGTGTTGAAGCAAATGGTCAACAGAATGGTTAAAGTCTCACTTAAGCTAAATACAACTTTGTCTTTAACTTATAACTTCATGTGGCTCATATATACATTTATTTTTGATGAAGCAAGATAATTCTATAGCTTTAGCTCGGTGTCCCTGAGATGCTTTGCTGCTGCCACATATTTGCATGTCTCTACACCATGGCCTTCTTCGTGGCATACCAAGCACGCCGAGTCTTTGGCTTTGGTCTTCCTAGCCTTGGACTTGTTCTTCTTAATTGCTTTATCTTTCGTTTGTCGAAAAATGGTCTTCAAACGGTCGACCTTGTCCTTGGGCCTTCCCTTTGGATCTTTTGTCGGAGGGTTCTTAAACTTTGTTCGATTCACCCCTCCCTCCACCTTCTTTTCACTCCCAACTGCATGTGGTGGATCATTTTGTCGCGAAATCAATGCTCGGGTGGTTGCCTTCACCTTTTCCCTCAGCTGGTCGATCCCTTCTGAACCCACCATGTACTCTTATGGCTCGACACAAGCATCAGCTGCAAGCTGTGTCATTTTCCTGCACATCGCATTGTATCTCAGCTTGTTTGTCACTGGAACACCAAACACTGGTTCAGGGCCTGACAAATGTTGAGGCACTTTTAGCGTTGCTTCTTCTGACCACCTGTGCAGCAGGTACTTCTGTGATATGTGCTGCACATCAAGTGTGGTAAAGACTTTCAGGATGTGGGGACATAGGAGACCATCTTGATCGAACATTTTGCAAGAGCATGTGTACGTTTCAGACCCCTGATTCGCAGCAACATTGTATGTTTTCAATGTCGCCTCACCTTCCTTGTATACTCGTTTCACCACCTGGAACACAAAGAAAATATTGTATGTTTTCAGAATAAAAAACTATAAAACAGGGGTATCATGGAACACAAAGGCACCTAGAATTCTTGTTGCAGTAGACTGTGGTTAGTGTTTCAGTAGTAATGTAATACATGTTTCAGTATTGGTAAAACAAAGCATCTAGTCATGGTATACACAGGCACCCAGAATTCTTATTGCAGTAGACTATGGTTAGTGTTTCAGTACTAATGTAATGCTTGTTTCAGTAGTAAAACAGAGCATCCACTGCAAAAAGTATGCTACAACAGAGATGTGCAGTCTGAAACAAGACAATTCAAGGAAATTGAGGCATGAATGTACACCTTACCTGTACTGTCATTTGGCCACCCTCTTTAGCAATCGAACCTATAGTTAATGCCGTCGAATCACGCAGGAGCTCTTGGAACTTGAAGAAAACACTTCTGGTGTAGATCTTAGATGCTTGCCTCTCAATTTCAGACATCCCCCACAACGGTGGATTTGTCGTTTCACCTTTGGCTGCTTCTTGATACTCCTTCTCAATCCTTGTTTCCATTATGTACTCATACTGGGTAAGGAACTGCAATACCGAGTCCTATGGGTGCACCATTTTCTTGAATAATGCATTCATACTCTCATATCTCCGTGTTGTGCTTGTGAAGGGAAAGAAGCATTTCCTAAAATATGCAGGCGCCCACATAGACTTGGTCGAAGACATGTTCTGGAAGTGTTCGTTGCCATGCATATCATACTTCACCTCTATGTTATGCCACAACATTTCAAACTCTTCAGGTGACTCGGTGAAGTTGATGCAATAGTCAAACTCGTCTGCAAAATCTGGGTTGTTCCTGATTAACCAACCAAACTTCTCACAAGCTTTGCTCACCACATGAAACTTGCAGCACCTGTGTGTTGCACAAGGGAATACCTGTACTATTGCAGTTTTCATGGCCCTGTCCCGATCAGTCATGATGTTGGTTGGTGCCATCCCTCCCATTGCAGCCTTGAGTGTTTGCAGCACACACACAAAGTTTTCAGTAGTCTCATCCTTTTGGGTTCATAAACCCAGGGTCCCCAATGGACCTTCTTCCCCCCAAAAAAATTTAGCCCATCAGACAGTGTTGCGACAACGCGCGCCTCCTAGGCCGGCCTAGATACATAATGACAGGCCAGGGCAACGATCCCCCCGACCGGAAGGCCTGGCCAAGGTGGGGATACAGTCCGACTCCGACCTCCTTTTCCGACCGGGGATACGCCAGACCTTTGCTCATGATTCTTCCCCGACCGACACGGTCGGGGCCAACTGGAAATGACCGACCGGAGACGCCCGCT